ATCTGTATGTATGCAGATAGATGATACCTACCTATATACGACCAATACAAAATTCTATGGGTATTCTTTATTTTCCTTTTATATATTTATTGTTGTTGTTATTCTGCAATGCCAGTTTCCAATATCATAAACTTCTATTTTCTCTTCAGAACATTTATTACGGTTAAGTTCGTATCGTCATTATCGTCACCAACTTCATTTTTTGTTTTTCTTTTCTGTTCCTATTTTGTTTCAGTCTTACAACCGGAATACAAATGTTGCCAACAATTGTTGTTGCTGTTGTCAATTTATTGTTATTACTGGTTCTGGTTGTTATTACAATTATTATTGTTATTATTTAAAGCTTGACAATACAACCATCCAACCAAACCAAAGACAACAATAACAACAATCGATGTTACCTTTTTTATCTATTTTTTATGTGTGTGTCGGTCGGTCTGAGATTCTTTGTAAATTGTTGCATGCCAAGAATGTTTGAAGTTGGAGTTTCCTTCCTGCTGATATACTTTCATTGCTCTCGTAGGATATTTTATATCCCTCTAGCTGAAACCCCCCTTTGGGAGGAGGGGTTTAAACCACATCATCATCAGGCCATTGGTTTCAATTGTTTTTCGATTAGAGAGTTTGCTTCTGAACGATAATTGTGGGTCCACAAGAGTTGCCACCAATTAGAAAATACCGAATGCTCCCTAAAAAATCCACGCCTGATATTAGATCTTGAAAAGAATACTGAAATAATCCACGCCTCATATTAGGCCTTGAAAAGAATCCTGAAATAATCCACGCCTCATATTAGGCCTTGAAAAGAATCTTTAAATAATCCACGCCTCATATTAGGCCTTGAAAAGAATCCTTAAATAATCCACGCCTCATATTAGGCCTTGAAAAGAATCCTTAAATAATCCACGCCTCATATTAGGCCTTGAAAAGAATCCTTAAATAATCCACGCCTCATATTAGGCCTTGGAAAGAATCCACGCCTCATATTAGGCCTTGAAAAGAATCCTTAAATATTCCACGCCTCATATTAGGCCTTGGAAAGAATCCACGCCTCATATTAGGCCTTGAAAAGAATCCTTAAATAATCCACGCCTCATATTAGGCCTTGAAAAGAATCCTTAAATAATTCTGGCCTCATATTAGGCCTGGAAAAGAATCCTTAAATAATCCACGTCTCATATTAGACCTTGAAAAGAATCCTTAAATAATCCACGTCTCATATTTGGCCTTGAAAAGAATCCTTAAATAAACCACGCCTCATATTTGGCCTTGAAAAGAATCCTTAAATAATTCACGCCTCATATTAGGCCTTGAAAATAATCCTTAAATAATCCACGCCTCATATTTGGCCTTGAAAAGAATCCTTAATCCGTATTAGGCCTTAAAAAAATATTCTTTATATAATCCACGCCTCATAACAGGCCTTAAAAAATATCCTTTAAAATTTCCACACCTATATTGGACCTTGAGAAAATATTCTTTAAAAATCTACGCATATATTGGACAGAAGACCTTTCAAAAGTCTTCTTTAGACAGAAAATCATGTAGAGGTCTAAACAAGGAGACCTTCCCGTTCTTCTACGGACAGAAGACCTTTTTAGAGGTCTTTCGAAAAAGGGCGTTCTAATTAAAAAAAGACAGAAGATCATCTAGAGTTCTTCTAATACAGGATACATTCCAGCGTTTTTTCTATAGACAAACACTCTTCCAGGTCTCTTCTATAGACCAAATACATCCTATAACTCCTCCATATACGGAAGACTTTCTAGAGGTCTTTTATAGAGAGCAGGCCTTCTTCTATTCTTCCTCAGATTTCTAGACCCCTGAAGACTTTTTAGATCCGAAGGTCTTTTCAAGTTTTCAGTGGGCCTGACACCATTTCATATTTTCTTTATATGGCAACCACAACTAAATATCTTAAACATATCCTAAAGAGATGATAGTACTGGAAATAAATACTACTCATATCCAGCCAGCCACCTTGGCTCCTCCTACCCAGCCATGCCTCTAAATAAACATTTGTGGCAAACACAAATATAAATGCCAGAACAATAAATATTTGCTTTCGAGATTATTTTTGTCTATAGTATCAGGTGGAGGACCGGATGGACACTATAGTATTTGGTGTCTATTTTCACATGCTATGGAATCGAAAAAGAAGAAAATGTGAACAGAACAAAAACAAATCACAACTGCAGGATGAAAGTAGATCCCCAACGAATGATAGTTTACACGATGTAGATTGAAGGAATAACTACTTCTCCAATACTACTATGGCTCTTTTATTGTGGTGGTAAAACGGTGGAGAGAGGGGGGGTCTGCGGCAAATACACCTGGCATGCCAATCAGTTATAAACCTAAAGTCTTCTCGATGATTTCTAACACAGAATGTGCCAGAGTATATATTCTGTCCTGACCACCCCCTCAGCAACCATGTTCGTCGGAATATTTAGAACTGACATGCAAAATAAAACCTGGCAAAATGATTGCAATTATTTGCCATTCATAGATGGTGTCTGACCATGCAACAATCAGAATGACGAGAACGACGACGACGACGATGATGATGATGATGGGGAGAAGTTCAGTTTTCCAACGATATTTCATGGAAATCCCAAACCTACCCCCTACGACAAATCATGTTCAATGATTCACGTCGCAGCAAAGTCTTTAATTTTTCATCAATTTAACTTTTCTTGAAATTATAACACCTTGGTCCAGAACAGCACCGAACAGTGGAAGGGTTGAACGACATGAAGGTGTGTTGATGATGTCGACTGCAGTGACACATAACCAACACTTCTCCAACATCGCCCCTCCGTCATCATCGTCATCATAATGTGCATACAAATGCAAATTCTCCTTTACAGGTTATTATGTTAATGTCTGCAGTTGTTAAAAGTTGACGGAAAGAATCTTTTGTGCGGTTGGTTGACTGGTTCGCCTGGTCGTGCTATGTCGTTTGTGGTTGGCTGGTTAACTTCTTCTCGCGATGGTGGTGTTAGTGTTGGTAGTCAGTCGGTCATCATTTTGTACGTGAAAAATTCTCATTATTTTAAAATGTGGTGTGATGTGATTTTCATTCCAAAAGTATTTAAACACGTAGCCGTGTAAATTAAGGATTATTAAAGATTGAAATATTTAATAGTGTTTAAAGTTTATTATATAAATGGAAGGATATATTTTTGTCCAGAATGTTGAACGATTTTTCTCTAGATATAACAATTTTGTAGAAATAAAAGACCACGCTTCGAATAGTCCTCGAAATATTATTTTTTAAAAATCCAAGTATTCTTTAGACACTCAAAAAATGTCCTCCACAAATTCTTTAAAAATTCACGTCTCATTTATACCCTTAAAAATATCCTACACAAATTCTTTAAAAATCCACGTTTCCCTTTAGTCCTTAAAAATGTCCACGCTTTCCTTTAGTCCTTAAAAAATGTCCTTTAAGAAATCCACGCTTTCCTTTAGTCCTTAAAAAATGTCCTTTAAGAAATCCACGCTTTCCTTTAGTCCTTAAAAAATGTCCTTTAAGAAATCCACGTTTCCCTTTAGTCCTTAAAAATTTCCTTTAAGAAATCCACGTTTCCCTTTAGTCCTTAAAAAATGTCCTTTAAGAAATCCACGTTTCCCTTTAGTCCTTAAAAAATGTCCTTTAAGAAATCCACGTTTCCCTTTAGTCCTTAAAAATGTCCACGCTTTCCTTTTGTCCTTAAAAATGTCCTTTAAGAATCCACGTTTTCCTTTAGTCCTTAAAAAATGTCCTTTAATAATCCACGCTTTCCTTTAGTCCTTATAAAATGTCCATTAAGAAATCCACGCTTTTTTTAGTCCTTAAAAAAATGTTCTTTAAGAAATCCACGCTTTCCTGTAGTCCTTAAAAAATGTCCTTTAAGAATCCACGTTTTCCTTTAGTCCTTAAAAAATGTCCTTTAAGAATCCACGCTTTCCTTTAGTCCTTAAAAAATGTCCTTTAAGAATCCACGCTTTCCGTTAGTCATTAGAAAAATGTCCTTTAGTCCTTAGAAAAATGTCCATTATGAATCCAAGCATTCCTTTAATCCTTAAAAATGTCCTTTAAGAACCCACGCTTTCCTTTAGTCCTTAAAGATGTCCTTTAAAAAATCCACGCTTCATTTTGGTCCTTAAAAAATATTCTTTGAGTAATCCATGCTTCCTTTTGGTCCTTGAAACAAATATTCTTTAAGAATTCTACACTTCCAGCTGGTCCTTAAAAAAATATTCTTTAAGAAATCCACGCTTCCTTTTGATCCTTAAAAAAAATCTTAAGAAATCCACGATTCCTTTTGGCCCTTAAAAATTATTCTTTCTCAAAAATATTCTTTAAGAAATTCACACTTCTTTTTGGTCCTTGAAAAAGATCCTTTAAGAAATTCACACTTCCTTTTGGTCCTTGAAAAAGATCCTTTAAGAAATCCATACTTCCTTTTCGTCCTCGAAAAAAAATATTATTTATGAAATCCACGCTTCCTTTTGGTCCTTACAAAAATATTAATTAAAAAATGCACGTATCCGAAGGATTTTTGGAAATTTTTCCTTTCAAAAAAAAACATGCTTCCTCTTGGTCCTTGAAAAAATATCCTTTGAAAAATCAACGATTCCTTCGGTCTTTTTTAAACAATTGAGGCTTCGTTTGGTTCCATTGAAAAATATTAAAAAATGGCACTTCCTTTTGGACCTTGAAAAAATATCCTTTAAAATCGACGCTTCCTTTGGACCCTTGAAATAATATTCTCGTGAAAAAAAACAAATTTCCTTTTGATCCTTTTGAAAAATATCCATTAAAAATCAACGCTTCCTTTGGTCTCTGAAAAATATCATTTAAGAAATCAACGCTTCCTTTGATCTCCAAATTGTGCTTTAAACCATTCAAGCTTCATTTTGATCCCTTACAAAAAAATCCAATCTTTAAAAAAATTCGCAATTTTTGAAAAATATATTAATTTATAAAAAAATTGTGTCTCCCTTTCTTCCAGGTATTATTAAGGGTGATGAAATTATGGTTATAAATGGTGCTATTGTATCCGATTTGGATATGATGTATTTGGAAAGTGTTCTGCAAGAGGAGCAATCATTAAGCATGATGATGAGGTGAGTTCCTGTGGAGAAGTCAAGTCAATCCCGACAATGTCAATAAACTCTAAAATTATTTCCCTTCCCTTGCATAGATCCTCACGTACGGAACCACCAGATCTAGGCAGTATTATGCGTGTTACCGATGATATGATTGAATCATTGGTGTGTCCACCACCACCCACAGATCCGCCAGTGATGAGTGAGGAAATGATAACGGGACTAATTGTACCGGCACCAGGTTGGAGTAAGTACTTTTTTTTGGTTTAGAACCATGACAATTATGTTTATTGCTGTTGTTGTTGTTTGAAGTGATAAAAATCTACAAAATAATAACAACAACAACAATTATTGTTAATAAGTGCAACTGTCCCAAAAGGTGGCCATAGATGATGATAAAATTACCAACCAACCAAAAAATAAAAACAACAACAACATGGCACTCCTGCAAACAACAATTACACTCCACATTTAATGGCATGAAAGCGTGCAACATGCCATCGTCCATCATCATCATCAGCGGTGGGGGTTGGTCATCGTCGTCAGCATTATGATTCGCATCATGCCTCTGCCACCTTGCTCCTGGGCTATTTAATAAAATAACAACAAAAATAATAATCATGCTGTTTGACGATGACAATCAGTTGTTAACCCTTTGCCAGGAAAAAAGTTCCAACAACAAAACTAAAAATATATATTGTTGCATTATGTTGTGGCATTTAGCCGCTTTGGTGGCCACCACCCTCCCCCTCAGACAATATGACCACCACCACGACCATTTTCACCCATTTAATTGATAATAATAACAGTTGTTGGAGTACCTGTCGTTAAGTTTGAAGAGCTGCCATAATTGCTGTATTTAAAGTGTTTAGGCTGTGGTAAACATCATCAGGCGAAATAGAGGAGAGACGGCGGACGACGGTTGGAAACGACCAGTCAGCCAGCTACATGAAAATTAACATTTGACAGGTGAATGGACATCAGAGCAGGTCAACAGCAACAACTACACGTCATTATAGGTTGTTAGTTTACAGTTATAAAGTTGTTGTAATTTTGGTAGTCATCATATCATCATTTTCAAAATAATAATAATAATATTCAACGAAAATAAAGATGATTTATAAATTTCTATTTTTTCCAATATTAACAAACAAATCGGAGATTTTTTTTAGCAAAAAAAATCAGGATTTATTAAATTACATCACATTATTAATATTTGTATTTTTTGTTGTCAGGGTATTATAGCTTTGTGCAGCCCCAAAAGTTTGTAACGCCGCGAAATATTGGTCCTAGACCACCTTTAATTATACATATCGTCATATCTCGACTAGCTCAGTCGATCTAGTCATGTGTATCCGTCCGTCCGTCCGTTCGTCCGTATGTCCATTATAATTTGTAAACACGATACAGGCCAAAGAATAAGCATGGCTGTTTTGATAAAGATCGGTCAATATTTAGCGGGTCAAATGAACCATGACTTTTGTGTGAAAAATGACAAAATTTGAATTCTATAGCGTATATGTTTATCCCTGTAGGGCATAGACTCGAGAAGTTGATATACAATTCAAGAGGAGTGGTTGACCTTTAAATTAATACCAATTATATTGTTATATGTGCTCGGATGTGGGAGTTACACCTAAATATTTACAGGTATATCCGATTCGTATATTATTTAGTAACCCATTATCACTCTAGAGAGCTGAACTATAGCACTGATCGCTTTGAAATGTTCCATGAGGTTCCAGTTATGGTCAAGAACAACGCCTATAATTTTCGGTGTTGATCAGATAATAATTTTGGAATGAAGTGGACCTAAAACTTAATTTTTTGTGTTATTTTCGAGTCGACCACAAATGAAAGCCGAACATCACAACACAACCCACGGTGAAGGGGATCTGGACAATAGCTGTACTGAATACTCGTAATATTCGGAAAATATGTCAATGTGAGGAAGAGGTGCTGTTTACCTCTAATTGGGGAAAAGGGTGCAAATATCACGAAATATTGTCCAGGCTCGGAATAAACATCCGCAGAAAATTTGAGTTCCGTGGTAGTTGTATAGGGTATCGTATGGTCGGCCCTGTCCGACTATACTGCTCCGCTCACTGGTTTTTTAAATAATTATTTTCCCAGTACCATCGATGCTTGGATATGTATACCCTTCACCACACTGTGGTATTATGTCTTTGTGCACATGTTTGTAACAGGCAAAAGGAAACGAGATAGACACAAGATTCCTTTTGAGAATATGCATAGAATAACTTTTTTAAGTCGATTTATGCATGTCCGTCCGTCCGTCTGCCCCTCTGTCTGTCCATGTTAAATTGTAAACAAAGTACAGGTCGCATTTTTGATTCGAATTGGATGAAATTTGGCACAGCTTATGTAATGACGAACCCTATTGAAATTGAGAAAAATCGGTTCAGATTTAGCATCCATATATATTTTCGTCCGATTTTAGGTAAATAGTGCACTAAAGTCCCTAAATATCTTTCGATTTGCACGAAATTTGGCATAGCATTTGGCATAGCACTGAATTAAGTCTAGAAAGATGTGTGTTAAATTTCGTAAAGATCGGTTCAAATTTAGATATAGCTCCCACATATATTTTCGACCGATTTAAGGTAAATGGTGCACCAAAGTCCCTATATATCCTTCGATTTGCACGAAATTTGGCGTAGCGTACTGAATTAAGTCTAGAAAGATGTGTGCTATGTTTCGTGAAAATCGATTCAGATTTAGATATAGCTCCCATATATTTTCGACCGATTTTATGTAAATGGTGCACCAAAGTCCCTAAATATCTTTCGATTTGCACGAAATTTGGCATAGCGTACTGAATTAAGTATAAAAAGATATGTGTTAAATTTCGTAAAAATAGGTTCAGATTTAGATATAGCTCCCATATAAATTATCGTCCTAAAGTCTCTAAATATCTTTCGATTTGCACGAAATTTGGCATAGCGTACTGAATCAAGTCTAAAAAGATGTGTGTTAAATTTCATGAACATCGATTCGGATTTAGATATAGCTCCCATATATATTTTCGTCCGATTTTAGGTAAATGGTGCATTAAAGTCCCTAAATCAGCTTCGATTTGGACGAAATTTGGCACAGCGTACTGAATTAAGCCTAGAAAGATGTGTGTTAAATTTCGTGAAAATCGATTCTGATTTAGATATAGCTCCCATATATATATTATCGTCCGATTTAAGGTAAATGGTGCATTAAAGTCCCTATATGTCCTTCGATTTGCACGAAATTTGGCATAGCGTACTGAATTAAGTCTAGAAAGATGTGTGTTAAATTTGGTGAAAATCGATTCAGATTTAGATATAGCTCCCATATATATTATCGTTCGATTTAAGGTAAATAGGGTACCAAAGTCCATAAATATGCTTCGATTTGCACGAAATTTGGCATAGCTCATTGAATTAAGTATAGAAAGATGCGTGTTAAATTTCGTAAGGATCGGTTCATTTTACATATAGCTCCCATATATATTTTCGTCCGATTTTAGGTAAATAGTGCACCAAAGTCCCTATATATCCTCCGATTTGCACGAAATTTGGCATAGCGTACTGAATTAAGTCTAGAAAGATGTGTGTTAAATTTCGTGAAAATCGATGCAGATTTAGATATAGCTCCCATATATATTTTCGTCCGATTTAAGGTAAATGGTGATCCAAAGTCCCTAAATATGCTTCGATTTGCACGAAATTTGGATTTATAGGTAAATGAAGAACTCAAAATATGCACAAAACATACTGAAATAAGTGTAACCTAAAATGTGACAAGTTTCGATGAAATCGGTTTAGATTTCGACATTTTGCTTTAAAATTATTTACATAATTTTGTCCCATTGTAAGAAGCAACTCTATATCTGACCAAAATGTAGTATATGTTGCAGAATGGCATGTTTAATTTCATGTTAAGGGTCCTTCAAATATCCGACGTCTATTAGGATTCCATCTGTTGAATATACCCAAAGTGGTGAAGGGTATCTTACAGTCGGCCCCGTCCGACTTTACTACTTTCCTTGCTGGTTTTAAAACGCCCCTTTTGAATCTGTCCTGGTATCCACAACACTTTTGGATTCATACAAAAAAACACAAATCTATTCATGTTATAACTTTTTCGTCAGCAACATTTTTAGGGTCAAGTGGTTAAACCCAGAATTAGTCATAACTAATCAATCATATGTTTGTGTTTACACATACACAGCCTAAAAGTATGCAGCACTCATCTACAATACCAATTGGTGTGTAGATTTCATTCAACATATCATCTAAAATTGACAACCTTCCTGGTTGTCGCATCCAATCATTATAAGGAATCTTTCCCTAGGTATCGGATACATCAATGATAGCCATCAGACGTCACGTTTTGTATAATTTCAATATTTATTAAATAGGGAATTGCTTTGCCTTAATTTGAGGACAAAACAGCTACCTTGATTTGTGTTAGCTGTACTGCCGCCCCATGTTCAGTCACCTCTGAATTCCTCATATGGGCCTATGCTTGTATCCAATCCTCATGATGGATATTATTCTCCTTAAATAAATATTATTTTAAAATGTACACACTTTAATTTAATATTAGGTCCTTGAATCACACTTCTAATAAATTTATTTCTTCTTCTTATTTTTCTCATCCTTTACAGATGGCACTGGCAAAGATTTATATTCACCAGAAGCTGAAAGCTCCCCAGCACCTTCATTTGTGGATCCACCGGTAACAGGTTTAGTACCGGGTGCCGGCACTAAGCCCACATCGCGCACAAGTAGTTTTGAAATAGAGAATTTATTGAAAACTGCGGAACAGGTAAGATCCCATTGAGCCTACCTATTGAGATCCATTGTTCAATGTTGTGGACCGTTGACACTATTTAGATGTATACACATAGATGGGATGAAGGAGGAAAATAAGAGAGAATTTCCCCCCTCTCCCACCCCTTCTCTTCATCCCAATTAGCTAAACGAGGTCATAGGGCAATTTTGTGGGGTAGAAAGGGAAAATAGGGGTAACAAAACAACAAAAACAACAAAAAATTGAAAACCATAGTCATAATTTATTTACAAAGAACAACAATGAAAAATTTAAACAAAAATAGAAGAAAAAATTTAAAAAAATAGTCCAACAACATCATTTTCATGCTTCATATGTGTGTGTGTGTGTTTGCGAGTCTGAGTGTGTGATTTGCGTAAGTGTGAGTGTGTATGTTTGTATAATTCGGCATAACATTTACTCATTGGTGATTGTACTCGTATGTTTTCCCGGTTCTTATTTTCTAATTTAGTTTAGTTTACATCTCATTATTATTTCAAATCTATGGCCTCCAAACTACACAGCACCAGGTACCAAGCAAGGTATCCACAACAAGCACAAGTAACCAACCACCAGCACCCATATCAAACAAAAAAAAGGAACCCTAAACTTGTTTTTAGTCCATTATAAATGGTCATAGCATAGAACAAATACCACAATCATCATTGTGATTTAGATTTCCAGGGGTTTTCCGTAATTTCCTACGTCCCAACCCCGCATAAGGTACTCCCCAACATTTCCATGACATTTTCAAAAACTTACCCAAAAACTGTTTTGCAATTTTCAATTCTCCATAAAAGTCCTTGGACACTTGCTATTGTTTTTCTTCAATTTGTGAGAAGGGTGTTAGGGTGTGTGTGTGTGGGGATTTGACTACGTATAAGCTTAGCACCATTGTCCCTGTCTGTCAAGTGATTTTTTCATCATCATTTGTATGTATGTGTGTGTGTGTGTGTGTATTGTTTTTTTCTTACATAGTTGGTGGCTTTTTCGGACTTGTCTAAGTGTCTCAACTCAATTGTCTGTAAAGTGTTTTGGCCCCATACTTCTGGTTCATAACAACAACAACAAAAAGAGGGAGAGGTTTGCATATGGGTGTATGCAAAAATATTTACAATTAGTCAGGAGCGTAGTAGAAAAAAAAATTCACATTACGTAAATGATAAATACAACAATGCCTAAAGAGAACCTTCAGATACATCTTGAGATATTCAGCCTATAATGGATCTGTAGAGAGCTAAAGAAATGTTTGCCTATAAAAGACCCTGCAGAAGGTGTAGACGCTACACAATGAATTATGGTCATATGAAGAAAGAGCAAAGGGTGGATTTTTTTTTTAAATTTAAAAAAAACACCACTAATTAAAAAAACCACCACTAAACGTATTTTCTGCTTGATTAAGACACTGATGGCGGGTTTGTTAAACATACAAATTTTCATAAGGTCCGGAAGGTCCTGATATCTTTAAAATCATTTTTTAAGGTAGGAAAAATGCGGATTTGAAAAAAAATTGAAAGCCAGGCGTTTTGCGGGTTTGTTTAAAGATACAATATTTTTTCACCATTATCTTGTTAGAAAAAAAAATAAAAAGTTATACCGCGTAGGGTTTTTCTAAATAATCCAATTTGTGAATTAAAATATATTCTGACGCCTAAAAGTATGCATTTTACATTCATAAGAAGTCATATTTATCCCCAAGAAGAATTTTATACCGAAATTCCTGGTATTTGCCTCTATTTTTAATCCATGGACTCAAAAATCTATTCGTGTATACACATTTCGTTCTGCAATACTTTAAGATCAAATGGTTTGGCCCAAGTAATAGAGATAATCGATCAATCATATGGTTGTGTCAGAGTGTACAGAGCCAGAAAGTATGCAGCAGATCTACTGTTTGGATTTAAAAGAACGATGTTCACGACTTTTAGAAGATGATTTAAGGGGACCCCCCCATTCTCGGGGTCAAAATTTTTGTTGATATAATTCGAATCTACACTGATTAAAGAATGTCTCTACAAAATTTCAAGTGAAAATCTCAAGAACTCTTGAAGATATAGCCGATTTATTGTGTCCGCATCAAGTGACGGCTGAAGGGCTTCTCAAACTTTAAACGCGTTTTTCTCTAAACATTTTTTTACGAATGGCGGGCACGATAACTCAAAAACTAATAGTCCAATCGGTTCCAAATTTTGCAACGTTTCTCTGGGAGTGTAAAGCTCCCGTATGAACTAGGATAAAGCCAATCGGTGAAGATCTTCCTTATTTTTAAACTTGGTTTTTGGTAAAAAATCGGCGATTTTCCAAAAAAAAATTCAAAAGCCCATCATTTTGTTAATTTTAGAGCGAAGTCAATAATCCTCGTTCATACGAGAGCCAGACATTTACTCTTTCTAACACCGTTGGAATTTTCGGATTCCGATGTTCCAGTGAGGAGTTATCATGCCCGCCATCAAAAGTAAGGACTTTTCTTTAATTACAAAAAACAACAACAAAACAATAACAAAAATTTTTTGTAAATTATTTTTCTTCTCTTTTAAATCTTCAAATATATATGTGCAAAGTTACAAACCCTAACAAGCATTGG